ATTTTTAAAATGGTTTGCTGCATAAAGCAGGAACCTTGCCGCATAAAGCGGGAACCTTCCTGATACTTTCCTGCATAGCTAATTTGCATGCGAAAAAGACACCTATCTGGAAGGTTCCCGATAGCTATCTGGTGCTGAGCAGGTACACTATGCAGGAACCCTTATATTTTTATAAGGGAGAAGTTATGTGAACTCAGAAACAGTATGTGCCAGAAGTTAGGTGAACTCAGAAACAGTATGTGCCAGAAGTTAGGTGAACTCAGAAACAGTATGTGCCAGAAGTTAGGTGAACTCAGAAACAGTATGTGCCAGAAGTTAGGTGAACTCAGAAACAGTATGTGCCAGAAGTTAGGTGAACTCAGAAACAGTATGTGCCAGAAGTTATGTGAACTCAGAAACAGAATGTGCCAGAAGTTAGGTGAACTCAGAAACAGTATGTGCCAGAAGTTATGTGAACTCAGAAACAGAATGTGCCATATGTTAGGTGAACTCAGAAACAGTATGTGTCAGAAGTTAGGTGAACTCAGAAACAGTATGTGTCAGAAGTTAGGTGCACTCTGAAACAGTATGTGCCAGAAGTTAGGTGAACTCAGAAACAGAATGTGCCATATGTTAGGTGAACTCAGAAACAGTATGTGCCAGAAGTTATGTGAACTCAGAAACAGTATGTGTCAGAAGTTAGGTGAACTCAGAAACAGTATGTGTCAGAAGTTAGGTGAACTCAGAAACAGTATGTGCCAGAAGTTAGGTGAACTCAGAAACAGAATGTGCCATATGTTAGGTGAACTCAGAAACAGTATGTTCCAGAAGTTAGGTGAACTCAGAAACAGAATGTGCCATATGTTAGGTGAACTCAGAAACAGTATGTGCCAGAAGTTAGGTGAACTCAGAAACAGTATGTGTCAGAAGTTAGGTGCACTCTGAAACAGTATGTGCCAGAAGTTAGGTGAACTCAGAAACAGAATGTGCCATATGTTAGGTGAACTCAGAAACAGTATGTGCCATATGTTAGGTGAATTCAGAAACAGTATGTGCCAGAATTTAGGTGAACTCTGAAACAGTATGTGCCAGAAGTTAGGTGAACTCAGAAACAGTATGTGTCAGAAGTTAGGTGCACTCTGAAACAGTATGTGCCAGAAGTTAGGTGAACGCAGAAACAGTATGTGCCAGAAGTTAGGTGAACTCAGAAACAGAATGTGCCATATGTTAGGTGAACTCAGAAACAGTATGTGTCAGAAGTTAGGTGAACTCAGAAACAGTATGTGCCAGACGTTAGGTGAACTCAGAAACAGTATGTGCCAGAAGCTAGGTGAACTCAGAAACAGTATGTGCCAGAAGTTAGGTGAACTCAGAAAGTATGTGCCAGAAGTTAGGTGAACTCAGAAAGTACGTGCCAGAAGTTAGGTGAACTCAGAAACAGTATGTGTCAGAAGTTAGGTGAACTCAGAAACAGTATGTGCCAGAAGTTAGGTGAACTCAGAAACAGTATGTGCCAGAAGTTAGGTGAACTCAGAAACAGTATGTGCCAGAAGTTAGGTGAACTCAGAAAGTATGTGCCAGAAGTTAGGTGAACTCAGAAACAGTATATGCCAGAAGTTAGGTGAACTCAGAAACAGTATGTGCCAGAAGTTAGGTGAACTCAGAAACAGTATGTGCCAGAAGTTAGGTGAACTCAGAAACAGTATGTGCCAGAAATTAGGTGAACTAGAATATATTTGTAAATTATATATTTATGAACATAAAATTGTTGTGCAATATTTTGTACATTTATGTCATGTATATGAACTAAAAAAAGATTGTAAAGTATATTGTTATTTATTTTATTATTATCTATCTGCTATCATGCGGCCCATGCACACAAAGAGAGCGACTCCAGAATAATTACCTGAACCAATTTGGTACACATTATGATATCAGTAAGCAGCCTAAGCTTTTCTAAAATTAAGAAGAATCAATTTAATGGCAACCTCAGCTATTATAACAGCGCTAACATTTCCATTCCGTGCATAATGTAGTTCATATTGCCAGGTTGTTGTTCTCTGTCACAAACTATATATCTGCGTAGGTGAATATAGATGCCTCTCTGGAGGTATCACCCGAATCGCACGGTTTTTGGAGCTTGATGTATGTCAGCATCCTTTATTCTATGTTTTTGTCATATTACCTCAAACCCTGCAAATGGAAGTGTGCATGGAATCATGGGAATTATCTGTGTGCATTGTTGTGTGATAACTGTCATAAAGGTGATTGACAGGTCATACTTGGTTACAACTCTGTT